CCCCAAAACCCCAAAACCCCAAAACCCCAACTCAGAATTATTAATTGATGAGTTTATTAAATATATTAGCCTAATAGTTAGATTAAAACATCTGAATGTTGCGAAGTAAATTCATCTTTTGTTTGAGAATTCCAATGAAAAAGTACATCCCAAGACTGATTAATATTTACCAGTCCTAAATAACAGTTTAAACAGGCTTTCGAAGCAAATGTTACAGATCTCATGCTGTGAACAATAGCTTGATGAGACAATTCGGTATAATTACATTATTATATAAGTATCGATATTTTTAAAGAATTTCTCTAAAATTTCTACCCACACCCATCACAAGGTAACTATTGATGGTATCTAAGCATAAGAGTTGCTCCTATTTTTATATCCTGCTGAACAATTCTAAAAATGTCGATAAAATATTTCTCATAAAATCCAGCACCTTAAGCTAGCCCAAAATTTACTAGAGTAATGTAAAAATCAAGTTACAGCTTATGGAAAATAATTAAAATTAGAAAGAATTACTTTCTCTGCTTCTGGAACATCTGTAGCAAGTGGAGAGGGTTGAACTGACCCAATTTATTATGATCCATTGGGTAAAATGAATATCGCTTTTGCTTCTGAATGTTCTTAATAATTTTATCTAGAGTTTTAGAAGACAACTTACTCCCTGAATCTTCATTATTATCCCCATTTTTATGCTCATTGGGGTGCTCTTGGATACTCTGAAGAGTCGAGTTCTTTCTGTAACTATTCGCACTCTGTTTCGATCCAAGTTTTGATAGTCTGTTGATCAAATCTGGCCTGATGAAATGAGTGTTCCTCTTCCTCATCACTTTAGAGACCCTGTTGCTAGAAGCATAACTTGATGGGTTATTCAGACTCAGAATTGATCCTTCTCGGTCAGTATTTCTCAGATTATTATCTGTAGTCGTTGAGATATTTGATTCTTTCTTTCTAGATTGAAAATATTAGATTACACATATTCGAGACTTACTGAAACTGATACACGCTGCCATCTTTATTATTCTGTTTGACTCTCACTTTATTGATGTTATAAGGTGAACCCGCTAATTCTCTCGAGTTAAAGGTTATCATTGCATCGTTGACGTGCTGTGAGTCGGTATAAGCATCCCCCATTGCTTCAGAGAAAACATGAGTATGGTTAAGCCTGTCGCTAGACTGTTTAAATACTCTTTTCGAATTCAGACTGTCTTTCCTTTTAAAACTGGAGAAGGTTAGACTATGAAATAATTACTCACTAGGACGATTATTTTGCCTTTGTTTAAACGTTCGTATTTCTGCACCCTGCACGAACTCGTTAAGAATTTCTTGAATATTGGGGCGACTTGTAGATTCCTCTTCAGCTTCAGATTGTTCTTGTCCCCATTCACTTTCTTCTTCAGGGATTCCATGGAATACAGCTCCACTAATGATACTAACCCGTGGCTTTGTAGGAGGTCTGGCATTAATTGCAGGATTGATAGCTAAAATTATTAAAAAATTTACCATCAAGCTCTTCGATAACTTTAATACTAGTTTTTCGTTCGCTACGTATTTTCCCATTTTTAAACTGTATTTTCTCTTCTTCACATATATGATAAGTGAAGTCACTTTCGGATTGGTCTTCTGATGTCTTATCGAGCATGACCTCAAATTTCTCATAGAAACAGTCCATTGTGGCGACGTTACAGAACAGCTATTTATAAGTTAGGATCATACCTTACAAACGTGTGATAGGATTTCTAGGTCTTCTAAATCGAAGTAGTCAAAGACTAAATCATTATTCTCAACAAAATTACTCCTCAAAATGACTGGGTAAATTTTGATATCTGTATTATTTAGGGGCAATAAACGGCTTCTCAGGCGGTACTTTTGGCCAAAGATCTGCTTGGCAAGCACTAGATCCTTTCCCGGTCCTTTTCCATACCATCGAAGAGAGGTGTCTTTTGCGGTCTATATTCCCATACGTTTGCTTACCTTTCAGACTATTTGCATTCTTCGGTGCAGCTTTGCGCTTATTTTTCTAGAAATACAGATGAGTGATGTCTTGGATTCCACCCACAAATTATGCTGACATTTTAGATAATTTTTAATGGAAAATAGTCTGGACTGGGACTCAGAAATTTCCCACGGTATTTTCGAACAGTGAAGGGATTCAAGTTTAGAGGAATTTTAAGTGATTTTAGGAATTTTTAAAAGAGACCAAGAGAGTGAATAAGGGAAATTTAGTGGAGATTTTGGGTGGTTTGAGGGATTAAAGGATTAGGAGACAAAAATTGGTTTTGGAAATTAAGGGTAGAGTCAAAGAGATAGGAATTTTAGAAGGGAAAGAGAAGATTTATTTAGTATTTTAGGAGATCAAACGAGGTTAGTTAGTAAGTATAGGTTATAAAGAAGCTGTAAGGTCGCAAAATCCTGGGTTTTCAATGTTTTATGTTGAATTATGTTATAATACAACTCATTGCAATAATTTTCAAAATCCTCCTTCAGAAAAATTAGACTAAATTTTCTAATAGCCCTTCCCAGATTTCACATCTGCACATCTTTACCTCTCCATTCTTCATTCACACTCATAAAATCTTAATTCATATTTACACTCCCAGTCCTCCCTAAGCCAAAAAATGCCACTTTTATCCCTAACCAGTGCAGACTTCCCTCACCTTCCATCCCCTACTCCCCCAAATTCTCCTCTAAACCCCCCTCTAAACCCCTCATCCCTCCATCATCCCCATCCCCTCAGCTCCCACCCACTCCCACCCAACCCCACTCACCAGTCATCACTTCGGAGGTATTCATAACTTAATCCCCATTTTTATGAAAATATTATTTCTATTCCAAGTTCTCGCCTTGGGGTTTTGGGGTTTTGGGGTTTTGGGGTTTTGGGG